ACCCTGGCTACCGTCGCCGTTCCTTGGCAACCTGCACTCATATTACTATCTGACGCTGATCTTGTTCCACCGACCTCAGTTGTCGTTCCTGGACCCCACTACCCAGGAAGCTCAATGGAAGCATCACATGATGATTTGCTACAATTCGGCTCGTGCTCTCTGCCGTCTGCAGGAAGCCGTTGTCAACTCATTCGGGACCATGGGGTTACAGTGCATGCAGCGCGGCTTCAGTTTTACTGTCTACGCTGGGCTCTCATGCATTGTGCTTCATCTAGTAAGCAGCGCTCAGTTCTTTTCTCCCCCTTGTACTCTACCCAGAGAGAGAAACAAAAGAAGAAGAATAATTATCCGTATATATTACACCGAAGTCTAACTCTCGAAACTAGGTCGCGATTGTCTCCCCAGACCCCGATCTTCACACCGATGCGCGAGAATTCTTTACCCGCCACATGAGGATCATGGAAAAGGTGATGGAGGCGTGGCCAATGCCAGAGTTGCAGCGACAGGTCGACGCCGTCCGGGAGGCTTTTTCAGCTGACGTTAGGAAGCCTTTTGTTCTGAAGCCCTCTTTCCCCTATGGAAGCCCTCATCCGTCTCATAGTGCCAGTCCTCCAGGATATCGCGGCATGCAGCGCGCTGGTTCCATGGAACAAGCACTGGATTCGAGCGGCAATCAAACAGTCAGTTACATAAGCCATCCCATATCACCTCCAATTTCTACCGGCGGTCTGGACAGTAAGAGTGACTCCCCATCTGCACAGTCGCTCGTCATGATGCCGCAGGCAGTCGGACCCGGCATTACACCGAATATGGCTCTGCCAGAGCAGCCAGCTTGGAACCCGGCTAGGATTTTTGAGTAGGTTTCTACCAGCGAACTTTGGAATTTTTCTTTTCTTCCCTTTCTCTCTCCCCTTTCTCTCTTGGCATCTATTTTCTCCCAGTTCTACATCTCCTCCTTAATCCACTCCTCCCTTACATACCCCTGCCATGGCTGAGATGTACTCGTTCTTTGCAATCTACACCCACGGATTGATGGACTAACGCGGTAACTAGACAATGGAACACCACATTTGGTACGCCCGCTCATACCGAGCCCAACCCTGTTTCCCCGGCCAGTTCTCTGAACGTTGCCTCGTCCTCAGGTGCACCCGAAGTCCCTACACTTGAAGATATTCAAGCTGTAAACTCCTCGCTGCCGTCCGGCTCACAACACAGCATTTCCCCACATCAATACGTGGCTGCGCCTGTGCCGAATTTCGTCACGCCCGCGATGTGGCAGGAGTCTGTGGCCAGCGTATACGAAGGCGGTCTCAAACGTGGATGGGATTACGACGGAACCACGCCGGCAATGAAGCGCCGCTAGCGGTCTTCTCGAACCGAAAGAACCAGGCTTCTGGCCCCCGTCTCAGGACTCGATCCAGATGCGACCTTCGACTGAGGAACTACGATTGAGGTTTCTCGACCGATTGGCTCATGCAGGGTCATGACGCCATTCACGGCATGACGATAGACTGTTCCATAACGACACATACCTTTATTCGGTTTTCTTTTCATCACTTTCTTCTTCATCTTTATGGGCATGTATAGTTATCTCCCCATGCTTTGTTGTTTCATCCTTGGTTCCATTTTTATTGCATGCGCTGGACGAAGATGCTGCTAGGCTAATTTCTTTTCATCTTTGTCCGTTTCTATTACTTGATCATTTCTTGTGTTGTGGGTTTCGTGCTATTGGGACGCGATCATCCATGACAATCAATGAGGTTTTTGGCAACAAGTTGTGAAGACGGATATAAAAACAAGGGGAGGCTCGGAAACAGAAGGAGGCGCTCTGGCAAAAACAAAAGCAATATCTGATAACCAGCAACGCCCTGCGGGCTGTACTGGCGGGGACGGCTTTAATGAATCTATGATGGGCAAATTTGGCGGTGTTGCAGGTCGATTCACGCATTTTCTCGCCTCTCGCCTCCTGGTGCCACCACCGGCTCCGTCGGAATCTCGGGAATTGCAGGATTAGCTCTTGTGTGTGTGTAGTACATATCATTGGTGTTTACGGTGATGCATAACGGATCTTTATTACGAGCACGGCCTCTGTTGGCTACGGGAACAGCGGCATCATGTACAAGACAATGGGCAATGTTGACATATTCGGCATGGTTTACAGAGGTGTTGAGTCTTTTGGATACAAAATCAAGGTGCGGAGTTTTCAGGGATTGGAGATGTATGTATGTGCATGTATGTACGAGTAATAGGATGAGAAGTACTCTCAGGGACCCACGGGAACGCAGCGAGTCTTGTGGGGGTGCATTGCTGAGCTGAAGACGGAATTGGACGAAATAAAGCCGAAACTGTGGTAATTACGGGCGAGCGGATTCTCTGGATTTGAATTCCCGTCCATTTCGACTGGCGGCTGGAGCCGTCCGCTGTATCGTACGAAAGCAAATGAGGCCCAGATAGCGAGAAAGAGCCGTACAAGGCTTTGATGCTACGGAGTGGGACACGCGATGCTACATGAGGCGCCGCTGATATATTGGGGATGAGGTGATGATTGTGGAGTTTTTTTGTTTCGGAAAGAGTCTCAAGGCCTGAACCTGAACCGAGGGAAGTTGTCGTTTAGCCGAGCAGGGTTGGCGAAAGTGGATGTATCTTTTTCGATGATGTACAAGCCACGGAGGATAAAATGATGATGGTTGCTGTACGAGTACGATACGATATATTATAGGATGGAGGCTGAAAAAAAAAGAGAGAGACGGAGAGAGAGAGAGAGAGACCTGAAGCAGGGGAGGGGGGTGGCGAGCGTTGGTTGGGCTTAGAGCCAGCCGGCCTCGCGATCCGGGCAAGATGCAAGCATGCAAGAAAAAGATTTTACATAGCAGTGCCACTCTCTTGTTGCTCTGTATATGTATATAATTGTACATGTTCCGCAGGACGCTATTACATACCGGGAACTGTTGCAAGAGCACTGTACTCGTCATGTGTATGCGTCAGGTATGTCGACTGCATGTATGGATGCATGTACGTGTGCAGTACAGTGATATGTACAAGTACGCCCTCGGTTCGGGACATGGGGGGGCGAGATTGATAAGAAGAGTTGAGAGGCTGTTCTGGGGCGAAGAAGAAGAAAAGAAGAGGGGCGGCGCTACATGAGCTTTCTTGAGGGTGTCTGGGGAACTTTTTTGCTCGAGGCCGCGTTTAGTTTGGGGCCGTGATGAAGGGGGGGGGGAGAGGGCGTGTGGGAGAGAGAGTCGTATTATGAAGTGTGGGAGAGTGAGATAAAGGGGAGGGGAGGGGAGGGGAGGGGAGGTTTTGATTTGATTTGGATATACTACTTGGTTTCTTTGGAGAGCTTTTCTGCTGATATTGTTGTTCTCTTACTGGGATATATGTAGGTTGTTGGTTGTGAAAAGACTTGATTGGTTTGATTGCTGTTCATCAACGGTAGGAGTTTGCGTGTACATGCTTGACTTTGAGTAGATGCGGAGTCTTGGTATGAACACACAATGAATCGGCGTATGGAGCACTGTTACGGGTACAGACGGGTTGATAGTGGAGGGACAGAAAGAGATGTGTGGAGATTTTGGGGCAAACGCTTCCTCTGCTTTGTTTCTGCTCGACCTGGGGGCTAATTACCTTAGGCTATATGTGGGCATATTCTGACCATTTCTAAACCCTCTTCTTGGCTTTTTGTTGGTCCTGTGCTGTTGATTACATGTTCCTGGAAGAAAATGAAGAAGAGCTTCGATGGAGAAGAGGAGGGGGGTGTGGGAGTGGGAGTGACCAAAGATTGATTATTGGTCTGTACATATATGCAATGTGATATGAGAGAGTGTGGGAACGGGCTGCAGTGTTGTTTTTTGCCAGGGCTGTTTTCTCATTCGTCTGATATTGTCCTTTCCCCCCTTTTTTTAATAATTAACTGGACTGGCGTTGGTTGAAAGTACGAAGGAGTGCGTAGTTACATGTAATGTAATGTACGGCATATGCATGCATATGCGTGATAATATTGAACGACGAGGGGGGTTTAGACAGCATGGATGGCATCCATTGTTTAGTTTGCGGGAGGGGGGGTGAAAAAAATGCCGAGGCTTGTTTTGCTGGGGCCCTATCGGATCTATGAGTTTTTGTGTCGGAGGTAAGAGGAACAAAGGACAAAATAGCATGTGAGAGGGACTGGGGGGGTTGGGTTCCGGGATGTGGTTGTGGGTGGGTGGTGTGATTTGCTGGGTTGCGATATTTTTTCTTCATTTATTTTATTTTTTGGGGAAACATGTTCCGTTTTTGGGGAGGCCAAGGTGAGAGTTCGGTGAGGAAATGAAATGAAGGTGTCTTGAGGTGACGCGAGGTGAATCATGTCTTGGCTTTTTGGCGGGGTTGAGGATTGTTTCGTGGAGCGGCAGAATGGAGTGGAAATCTCCATGTTCTGGAGTTGTAAACTCTTCTACCGCTGGAGTGTAGATTTGCTAGATTACATGTATACATGAGATGCGCGTATGACATGTCCCGTCTCGTGTTACATTCCCACCGCGGGAGAGAACAAAGCACAGCAGCACAGGCCAAGCGCGGCATCTCAGCGAGGACTTCTAGAATGGTTCCAGTCCCGAAGCCATGGGAATGGCAACTCGTTCTATGCCAGACGCTACTGCTAGCACGGTTCGTCCGCGATGGTATGCGGCTCGGGTCACATCCCGTTGATGGGGAACGGGCATGTTACTTGATTTGTTCCTAGCGTTTGGCTTGATGGGTTTTCCTGTGGATAGGTGAGATGGCGATGTAGGTTGTTCATATATATAGTATACAGCTAGTGAGACGGCGATGTAGGCTGTTTATAAATATAGTATACAGCTAGTGAGATGATTCGCGGTTGGTTGTCATGCGTTATAGAACGCCGTGTCTTGATAGGATATGTAATACAACCAAGGTAGTCGTAATATCGAGACAACACCATTCATACACAAGACGTATTCATATTCGTAAATTGGCACACTGTTGTGTCCAAGACAAAATCATGCCACCTTCTCTGCCACGGCCCTCTTCTCAATCTTACTCTTAACGGCATCCCAGATCCACGCCTCGGTCAAGTCCTTCCCCTTCTTCCCCTTGGGCTTCTTCTTCTCCACGCCAGCCTCCTGCACGCCAAACTTGGTCATGGCTCGCAAGTTGTACCACTTCCTCGTCTCGTTCTCCGCAATGGCGCCCTCGGCGTCTCGCACATGGTTGACGATGCCGAAGCGTCGCTTTGCCGGCCGCAAGTGGCCTACCTGCATGGTGCTGTAGCGAGGCTTCGCAATGGCGCTCATGGTGGTGAGGGTGAGCTCGGTGGAAGGGGGCAAGGCGTGGATGAAGCGCTCGAGGACTGGGCGACTAGTGCGGGCGACGGGAGGTAGATGGATGTAAATGTGTGAGACGAAGGGAGATGTGGTGTATGCCACGAAGAATAAAGGAATGAGACCGCAGAGGGCAACTGGACGAGTTAGTCATGACGGCAATTTTCGTATCATCTGGGTGACGGGGATGAAGCATCGATGCTGAGGTCTCTCAAGATGGATGAGATCGCCATGGATGTCTTCTTTCACGACTTGGCAGCTCCCCACCTGAGATATTGTAAAGAAACGAAAGGAAACGACATCAAACTCACCCCCTAACGTCTCCCATTCTGGCTTCTCGGCCTTGACGTATCCCGGCACAACAATAAACGTGAAAAAGGCCCCGAGAAACAGCGTCGTCACCTTGACCATGGCCAAGAACGTGATCCGCCCCGTGCCCGCATGATAGATGAGCAATCTCTCAGCGACTTCTGTGTTGATTCGTCGTTAGCAATATTAATCTTGACTAGGGGGTGAGTTGTATGTTCAAAGCTTGCCGTAATGCTTCGATCCAGCAGTGGCGGCGGCTGCTTTGGCCTGTAGCTTCGCCTGCCCTGCTGGTGAGAGAGTCGGTTTTGAGATGGGCTTCTTAGCTACCTGGGCGTAGCATCGCTGAAGGCATCTGCTTTCGAGCTGTCGTAGGTGGCGAGTCCGAGGGAGATGCTGCCAGTGAATAAGGCGTGGCGGTGATGAGGGGTTGATGGATGTGCTGAATGGCTTTTTACTGCACAGTCTCAGGGAGAACATGTTGAGTTGTGAGTTTTAGTCATGAAGTCGGAGCGAGGTGAGCCAAAGCGTCGTGAAGTTGCTGAGCTTGAATCTTTATGTTAGTGCAGGCTAATTGATGACCTGTGAGCCAAGAGGTCGCCAAGGTCGCATCCGGATTGGTCCACCTGCGATAACGATAAAGCTTTGGTGCATCTCTCTCCATTACCGAGCTACTGTATTCGCTCTGCTTGGCAATAATAGCTGAATTCTCACATTGACGAATTCCCATCTTCACTTCACATGAGCACAAATATGAATCGACTTCATTTTTCAATTGCTAACAATATGACAGCTTCTTCACCTCCACCTTATGCAATGTTCTTGGTGAAAAACTCCTTCCACTGGTCCACAGTCCAGCCAGAGCTGGTGTCCTGAACAACACCATCGAAAACAACAGTAGGAGTGACATGGACGCCCACCAAGCGGTTCATCTTGGTGACAACCTTGAGATCGTTGGTGACGGCATTGCCAACGTTCAAGGCGCCGTCGTCGCCGCCCTTTTCGGGAATGGCCAGCAGCTTGTAGACCTCGTCCTCGCTGACGCCCACCTTGGCGGCCACCTTTGCCAGGCGGCGGTACGTCTGGTTGCGCGTCTCGTTGACGACGCTGACGTCGAAGAAGTCCTTTTGCGCGGCGAACAGCTCGCCGCTAAAGGCCCAGAACTTGTCGGGGGCGAGGCGCAGGACGGCGAGGCCCGCCTCGTGCGTCAGCGTCGACGACGGGTGCCACGGCTGGACCTGCTGGCGGAAGACGACGGCGAGGCTGTTGGCCCAGGCCGGGGTCTCGCGCACGACGGGGAAGACTTGGGTGGTGAGCGTGTTGAAGATGCGTGCGGAAAAGGGGCACGTGTAGTCGAGGAAGAGCTCAAAGGTGTGAGTTGCGCGCGGGACGGACGAGGACGAGGATGAAGCTGCCGGGGGGGCGAACTCGAGCTTGTGGCCGGCGAACTTGGGAGGGACAGCCATTGTATCGGTTTGTACTTGGGTTTGACAAGATTCTGCTGGTGTTGAATGCAAGGTGATTGGATGTCAAGTTCCAAGTCGGAGTTGGTCGCTTTTTGTAGAGCTCAGTGGATGTGCTGAAGAGCAAGTTGTGTTGCAGGCAAGATGGTGACATCGCCGGGAGCTTTGAAGCAATTTACCCCTCAACCCCCTCCATCCGTCAAAATCTTGCACAACATGTGCCTGCCTACGTTACAGTTTACTCTCCCCCTATCGGTATTTACTAATTGATAGGTACTTTACTCGATAAGCCAAAGTGATGTCAAATACTACATCCATAGCTCTCGGGCACTCGTCCAGCTTACAAGCGGCGGGGCAGCATCAACTGTCAAAAGAGCGATGCCCGATGACGTGATTCCATGCGATTGCACAACTCCAGTCGTCGGCCCGACGAGACATGAGCCATGATTCGCCATCTATTGCAGAGCAACACTCAAGATACCACCTTATAATCTCAATCACAGAAACGGGATAGACACAAGTGATTGTCTGACAGTACCAGCAGTCAATTTCGGAATCTCATTCCCATCCATTCGTATATCATACAGTAAAAACTCCGCGAGCTCTAGGCTCTCAAAAATCCACCAACGCTAGAGCGTCCAAAGTTCTATGTAGCAAAAAAAAAAAAAAAACCAAAACATATAGTCCTCCCAGCATAATACATGATCCATTACCATCCCCTCCTTCGTTTATACAATCTTTCCTTTCCCAACCCTCTAAGCGACTCTCCTGAGTCTCACCGTAATCTCGTTGGCGCATCGCTCAAAGCCAATGCCGAACCCATCTTCGGTCCTCGGCTCCGGGTACGCCACGTCCTCTCCGCGAGGGTTCTCAATGTCAAAGTCTCGCAGCACATTGGCGACCACAAACAAGATGGTCTCGAAGCCGACCTTTCTTCCGGGGCACAAGTTGCCCGCCACGCCGAAGACGCGCAGCTTCCGCACCATGGAGGCGGAGAGGCTGCCGGTGTTTGTGAGGAACTTGTCCGGGGAGAAGGTGCTGGCATCGGAGCCCCAGGTTTGTGCGTTCTTGTTGAAGGAAGACATGGCGAGGTAGACGAGGTCTCCCGACTTGAGATGGATGGGCTGTGCGTTTGGCACCGCAATGTCGAGATCGGTCTTTGCCAGGCGCGGGATGGCTGTCATGTGAAGTCGCAGCGTCTCGTACAAGCATGCTGCCAAGAAGGGGAACGACTCTCGGATGCGAGCAACGTCAATTCTGCCTTCGGCGTCGAGAATGTCTGGGTTGCGTGCTTCCTTGACGACTCTGGCGAGAAGATCGGGACGCATCAACAGATGGCGGATCATCCAGACAGCCATGCTGCTGGGGGTGACCAAAAGGCCGAGCGATGTAAGCAGCTCCACGTTGAAGTAGTCTTTGTTAGACTCCCATTCGGTATCAGACAGGGCAACGGCGTTGATTCGATGTGCGATTTGTCCAAGTCTGGTCTCTCTGTTGTCGAAGTGGAAGGACTTGAGCTTGCTGATGATGAGAGCTCTGGCCTTGTGGGCTGCCGGGGCAGTGTACTTGGAAAAGGGTCGGAGGAGAGTCATTTGCGAACCGCTAATTTCCCTAACATCATCATGTTAGTTGTTTAAAAAGTCAATGTAGTAATGAGGAGTAGACTTACATGAATGCGGTCTGGAACTCGTCGTCAACAACCCAAGGGCTCTCTGGTCCCCAAAGGGCACTCGCCACAGATGAGCTTGTCAACTTGAACAGCCACGGTCCGAGTTCGGTCTCCTGAACATCAGGCTGGCTCTGTAATCTCTGGTTCGCAGCCGTTGACACCTGGCCGACGAGAGCCCTGGCGTTGCTTGCAGAGGAGAACTCGCCGACGTGAACCGGGCGAGGATCATATGACCCAATGGCGTTGATGGTCTCGTTGCTCAAGTCAAAGACTCGGCGGCCAATGAGGAAGATGACGTTGGCGAGACTTGTCTCCGAGGTATGTCTTGATAGAACGCTCTCCATGGAAGGGTCCGTGACAAGGACCTTTCGTGGGAAGATGTTGATGGACAGTGTCGGTCTGGCACAGTTGAGGATGGCATTGTAGACAAAGGAGTACACTTGGTATCTCATCTGAGACAAGATCTTGAACAGACGGACGGAGAGTGGTCTCTCGGTCCGGCTCTTGTGACCTCGGTAGGTGTGAACAAGAGGAGCAATGAGAACCAAGAGCAGCAAGTAGTGATAGGGGAAATGGGACGAAACATGTGTTCCGGCCAAGACTGGCTCACCCACCGCGTGGTGGGATATAGAAGAAGGGATGACGTTTACTCGGTTCATCTTGCAAGTGTAAGAAGACTTGTATAAGTGGAAGAGTGCTGTATACTCTGTATTGTTTGTTGATGATGGTGATGAATGATGATGAGAGCTTCATGAAGTGGCAACACAGCTGCATATTTATCCCTTCGAGGACCAGATGACAGCCCCAACTCATCCATGACCAAACTAGCATCTAACGAACCACTTTGGAGCCGCCAACCAGTGAGGCTATGAACACAGCGGGATAACCAAGGAGAAAGCCATGAGGCCACCGTCGGATTCTCTGGTTCGAATCCTGCCATTGCCCAAAGCTGAATTGCGCCTCTCCACCATGCCTCCTCCCTTCCCCCCCCCCCCCCCCCCTCTTCGGCCATCACTTTCACGGAAGACGACATTTGCCTAACTCGATGACTTGTTCTTGCCGGTCCTGCTTCTCTTTCCGGGCGTCATCGTAGATATGGGACCAGGGAGGGGGCTGAAGGGACCCAACAGCTCAGGTCAAAAGCTGTGTGTGTCTAGTCCAGACCCCCCCTGGCAATACAATGATCAGGGCTATGTTCTGTACCCGCCAGCTGAAAAAGAAGTGCCCAGATAGGTGACTGTAAACAAGAGTCAAGGCAGCCAAAAAAAGAGTAGAGGCCATGTGGTTGGCCTGTAAACGTGTGGGGGGGAGTGTGATGATGCCCCTGCCTTGTGCTGCCCAGAATGCCGTGGCCAGCGTGGCTTGCTCATTGGCAGGATTCGATGGAGGATCAAAACAGGGCTGTAGGGGAGGGGGCGTATGGGAAGAAGGGAATCGAATCCGATGATCTGGATGAGTCGATTGGCCGCCTTGCGTTGATTGGCCTCTTATGTTCTTGGTATTGTTATTTCTTCTTGGTCTGGTCTGGTCTGGTCTGGTGTATTTCATATTTTACTATTTTTCTCTTGGTTTTTTGCGGCGCTCACGATGGTGATGCCTGGATGAAAGTGGATGTTGCCGGATTTGGAAATGGGCCGCGGGTCAGCTTCACCGAGAGGGTCTTGGTTTTGGGGTCTATTTTTCCTTTCTTTTTTTTTTTCTCTTTTCCATTCCTTTACTTTTTTTTCCCTTCCGGTTCTTCTGCTTTGCATGTAACAAGCGTAAAAATTTGCAATGGAATCACCACTAGCCAAGAAATACACAAAACACAACATGACAAGGATACCTACCTACGTATATGCAGCCCCAAAGCCACCCCTCGCAAACGGGCAGACGAGGCTCGTGTGCTGTACTGTAAGTCAGTCAGACAGAAAAAAAACCCCAGAGAGATTGGCAGTCATCAATTGTCATCGCATGTCCCACAGTGTAACGCCGGGAGTTCTAGAATGTCTCGCCGTGTTGCCATAAAAAGAAATTCGGACCTGAGACAATTCTTTTTCTGGCTGCAAAATTGTCTCAGTTTTACGCCTCGTCTTGGCCATAGTATTCCGCTTTGACCTTTTTTGACTTTTTTTCATGACATGAATGACTTGAGAGAATGTGACTGAAGGTGAGCAAATGCCATCATATTACGGCGGTAGTTTGCCTTGTTAGGTACTAAGGCATGTTGGATTGGTGGTTACATGTATCCTTTCATCCTTGGAAATGGCAGATGGACTCGGTTAGCAGGCAAACGACGAGATTGTATCGACGGGCGTTTTCGTGTCGAGGCATCTTTTCTTCTTCCTCTTCCTCTTATTTTCCTCGTTATGCGAGCAAGAGGCTCCATCTCCCCCAATCCACACGCCCCCTCCCTCTTCTCTCCGACTGGTTCCCAAAAGCATCGTGCCATATAACGAGATCGGTCAACTCGTATCAAAGCCAACCACGCAGCAGCATCTAACCAATACCATCGGCCACTCGCGTTCACCTTGTTTCACTTCGGGCAACTTGACCTTTTTCTTCTTCTTCTTTTTTTCCTGTGTCACCCCCCACCATGAGAAAACGAGCGTCATCCCCCATCAGCCGCTTCCCAAAATGCAGGGTTGCAGGCTTCCAACCACCCCCCGGGCCTCAGCCCCAATCACAAGGGACCTGTGCTCTGTGTCCGGGTCGTATTTGCCCCTCTATGATGGCACTATCTTATCCATTCGCATTCTCTTCTTGTTTCCGTTTTCCGGCTGGCTGGGTTATGTAGCTTCCGTAGTAGGTAGGAGGAGTGCAAAGTAGCACGGCGAAGCGCTTATACCGCCCAGGTGGAGCGAAGAGTACATGTCAGAAGTGAGAGTGAGAGTGAGAGATCAATGGATCCCCAACACAAGACAAGACAAGAGCAAGAGCAAGACGAGCCAGGCCAGGATATGCCGGAGCCGTTTACATACGAGTACAGCGGGCGGTCGCGGGGGCCGGCGGCCGCATGAAATGATGCATCTGCATCTGCTTTTGGGGCTCTCGAGCATTATTCGCTTCTTACTGCGGCTACCATCAACGCTAGCAGCAATATATCGAAAATCGACGGCAGGGGTTGTTCCGCGTTGGGCCTAGGGAGCCAGCGGGAGGGAGGGTAGGGCTGGTAGGGGCTGGTGGCTGCTGTGAGACGCTGTTGGTCAGTGGGAGAATACAGGCGAGGTCCCTGTAACCTGTGCAAGTCATGTACACCTCAGTCATAACCCAATCTGGGCCGTGTGTTTCCTCCATGCACGCCATCAATACATGATGCGACTCTGTCTCTCCCTGCCGTCGTTTCTTTTTTTGGCCTGGGCTGCTCTGGTCCTCCCTCCCTTGGCTCCAGCTGGACCGTCCGTCCGTCAGCCGGTAAAAACACGTCCGGCACAGAAATGACGGAGAGTGAGGGCGACAAGTGACAGATTTGCTGACCCCCCGGGGATGCGCCGCGGGGTTTCACGATGCCAAGCGACGAACCCTTCCTTCAACATCGTATCCACGGGTTTCTCTTACGCTCTCTCTTACTCTCTTACTCTCTCACGCTCCCTCTCTCTCTATGGAGCGAGCACAGTGCCCTGTTTCCTTTGCGTTTAGGCGTTTGCAATTCCTCATCAGGTGAGCAGGTGACTGATTGAACTGACTGACTAACCTCTCTCATCCTCCTCTCCCACGTGATCGATTAGAGTGAGAAATCATCGCCCTGCAATTCCAGGCAGACGAGCAAACGGAGCGAATCCACTTCTACGCTTCCGCCTCCCGATCCGCGGCTGCATCTTCCCGTCCATCGTTGGTCGTTGGTCGTTGGGTCGCATACCCGTATATGCATCGGCCCTCGCATCGCCCATTCGCCCAACCTTGGGGGGTTCCGCGCGGCTGGAATTGCTCCCCCCTCCAAGAGCAAACGGAACAAGTTCTCGTCTCTCACCGAGCTGATGGAGGCGAGCGAACGAACGAGCGGCCTCATCCCCTTGCCTTGCCTTGCCTCGCGCCATGGGCCACGGCCAGCTGAACATGCCCGCGCCCCGCCCGCTCGTTCCGTTCCCGTCGCCTGTGGGGAAGAGACGCATGGCCCATGATACGATTCTCTTGCTCTTGCTCATCATGGCTGTTCAGGTGAGGTTGAAGGGAGAAGCAGGGCCACGGCTAGCCCGCATCGAACTCTAGCCCCCGGCACTCCCCTAGGCTATTGAACTCGGAATGACGTCTTTTGCTTGGTCGCCGCAGAAAATGTGCATGGGGGCCGAACGAGGCTGGCTGTCCGTCGTCGCCTTTGCCTCGATCCAGCCTTAGGCACCCATGGGTTGGAATGACATGACATGCTTTGCCCGTTTGTCCTTCCAGCAACAAGTGCTACTTGACCTGTAATGTTTTGACTCCCATGTCTCCCCACCACGTGGTTGCTCATAGTCTCCGGCATTGCCACGAGGCCCAACAAGAACAAAGTGGTAAACGAGGTTATTGGAGTACGGCTGCGGCTCTCCGCGGCGCCGGGAACGTGCAGTCATGCCTGCAGCAAGTGCGATGCCGTGCCTGCAGGGGGTTGCAGCTGTTGTGGGCAACACAACGGTGACTGTGACTGTGTGTAGCCGGTGAGGCGGACACGGGTTGGCCGGATATTGCCCGTCTTTGACGCATTTTGGCCCTGCGTCTGGTGTCTTTGGGGAACACTATCAACCGCAAGAAAACAACCGGAGCGACGGGTGCAGCACAACAGCACGACCGAAAAAGAAAAATCCAGGCTGAAACAACAGCTTGGTACCTACATGCTCACTCATATGGGTGGGCGCATGGAGTGTTGGTCATTGGCAGCGAGAATTGTGCCGGAGGACCGTCTGCCTTTCAGCCAAGGCAGCATCCCCCCCCCCCGTCACAGTCACATCGTATTTTCAGCTATTTACTATGTTTCCAAGTCCCAAGGGCTCCAAGGCAAGACAGCCTAAGACACAGTGTTCTTCGTCACGACGCCTCTGGCAAACTCGCCAAACGTCAAGTGCTGTTCAATGTCAACCTCCTCGCCAAGGTTGGGCTGCGTAAACACGGCCAGCGTGTTTCTCGCTACCCTCCCATCACTCACGCTGGCCCTCACCCCCCTCACAAAGTGAGGCACCGCCTTGAACTTGCCAGCCGTGATGCGTTCCAGAGCCTCGCCCGTCTGGAACGCGATGCAGTCACGAGGGATCTTGACCTGCACCGTCTCGCCCGTTCGAGACTTGATGTAGAGACCAGCCGCGGCGTCGGGTGAGGCAGCGAGCTCCTCCAGAGGAGGCAGGGAGGCGCCGTTGAGGCTTGTCAAGTCTGCTGTTGGCACCTCCGGGTTGACCTCCCTCTCGTCGATGAACATGGCAGACGTGAGTCCCGTCAAGCAGCCATGGTCGAGATGGGTGCCGCACCAGTCGTCCTCGTCGCCCTCTGCCGCAGTCGACGCCGCCTCAGACGCCCCTTGGGGAAAGTAGTGCAGCAGCCTCGCCTTGGTGGTGTTGGACGTGCTGACGACGTGCTCCAGGTAGCCCTTGGGGTACCCCCGGATCTCCTGCTCGGCAAAGCGGTCACAAGCGCGCGCCACCAGCACGGCAACGTCGATGATGAGGCGGCAGAGAGTCGTCACTGCCGGCTTCATACCGGGCAGCACATTCTCGGCGGGCCAGACGTTTGGCGACAGGTACTCTGGGAACGTCTCTGGCGAGAACTCGGCCGTGGGCTCAGCACACTCCAGGCTGGGATTCACGTAAAAGGCGCAGTTGGCGTAGTAGGATCCCTTGAAGGTGTCGGCCTGGCCATTCTTGAGAGTCTCCTTGCCCAAGGACCATCCGGTGAGATACTTTGCTTTGGCGTTTTCCAACTTTTCTGTAAAGGCGATGGTAAGCGGCGCTCCGCTGCTTGTGTCATTGGAAAATACGGAAAACGGGTGCCTGGGCTTCCCCCCCTCCATCCAATCCTCGGTGGCTTGAAAAGAAGAGAAGAAGAAAAGGCAGACAAGCACTTACCCAGTTCCTCTTTGGGCAAATTTCCCAAGTAGGATCCATATGATAGGGCGACATGGCGCAGCTGGGCGAATTCTTGTGGAACGTCCTTGACCACTAGGATACCGAGGGAGTCAGGGCCAAAGGCCTGCTGCAGAGTCTCAAAGGAGACGTCTCCTGTGATTTGTTGTGTAAGCCAGGGGAACAACGACGGCGTGCGTCCATGTGAGTTGGTGTGAGAGTGTGAGTGTGAGTGTGAGTAAGAGTGTGAGTAAGAAGTGTGAATGACGATGCGGGTTTGTGCAAGTGTGAGTGGGTGAAGTGGGCTTTGATTCCATCCACATCCATTCCATCCCATTCCGTCTCCTCTCAATGGCTATGCTATGGCCAGGACGGACGACGTATACAGAGTAGGCAGTAACAAGTAGATGGACATACCATTGTGCAGGTCCTTGAGAGACACCGTCACAGCCTGAGCCAGGGGCGCCATGTTTGAGAGACGAACGATATACGAGCGATGATGGCCAGCTGCTGACCAGAGGAATGGAATGCCTGGGCAAGCGAGCAAGAGGGCAGAAAATAAAGAATCACGGGTGGAGAGATGCGGAAGAAAAGGATCGATCTTGATCCTTCGGGTCGTACGAGGGGCCGTCAGCTACTACATGTAAGAAAAAGGGAAAAAAACGGTCGTCCTTTGATTCCTCGCCCCCAAAAGGCCCGCCACCACCGGCTCCATTCCCGCTCCTCCACGCTCCGAGAAAACCATCAGCACAGCGTTTCCCGTTACTTTTTTTGTGCCGGTTTTCTCAACTGGAACTTGTTTTGGGCGGGGGAGGGGCAAGCGAAATGACACTGGAAGAACAAATGAGAGGGTCCCGAGGCATGAACTAAGTCAAAGAGTGCGCCAAAAGAACCGCCAGAGTGCAGAGGAAGCTCGAGCTCCAAGTAGGCGGCTTACGTAACTGCAGATGGAGCTCGCCGGCCCCCGACTCTTTCAAGCAACAATACAGTGCACATCAGTGTTAGTCTACAAGGTCATGCTACAGTACTAAGTTGCATCTTGACAAGCTCAAGGCTCAAGGCTCTCTCCCGCGTAATGCTACCGAGTCCGTCCAGGCATTAATTAATCAACAATCACGGCGCATCTCGTCCGGTCGCACGCCCTTCCCTTTGTCACAGCCCCCGACGCAACCCGCTTCGCATCGCTTCGCTTCCATCCCCCCCCCATTGGCCCGCAGCCATGGTCAAGCCGCTGACCTTCAAGGGCGACAAGAAGACCAAGAAGCGGAAGCGCGCCGCTGCGGATCGCGCCGACGACGAGCCCGAGCCCGAGCCCGGTGCCCAGCACGGCGAGTCCAGCACCAGCAGGCAGCAGAAGCTGGTCAAGGGCGACAATGGCGAGGACCAGCCCAACGACGACAGCTGGGTGTCTGCCGATGCCGTCGGCGACGTCGTCGGGCCCGTCATGATTGTCCTGCCCACCGACAAGCCGTCGGCCCTGGCCTGCGACCCGAGCGGGAAAGTGTTTGCGCTGCCGATTGAGAACATTGTCGATGACAATCCGACGAGCGCGGAGCCCCATGATGTCCGGCAGGTTTGGGTAGCGAACCGCGTTGCCGGCACGGACAACTTTCGCTTCAAGGGGCATCACGGGAGGTGTGTACGAATGCAATGCAGCATACCTAATCGAATGTCTAGAAGCTACCGGTATGCTTTCCCAACATTGTGCTGACCAAGGTACCTACGCAATACAGATATCTCGCCTGTGACAAGATTGGCTTGCTCTCGGCCACCTCAGAAGCCGTCTCCCCCCTGGAATCGTTCAACATCATCGCCACGGCAGACACGCCCGGAACCTTCCAGCTCCAGACGCTTCGCGACACACTACTCACCATCAAGCCGTCCACCTCGTCCAAGCCCAACGCGCCGCCGGCCGAGGTCCGTGGCGACGCCGACGCCATCACCTTCAACACGACGCTGCGCATCCGCATGCAGGCCCGCTTCAAGCCCCGCCTCAGGACGTCCAAGGAGGAGCGCGAAAAGTCAAAGATTAGCCGCCGCGAGCTGGAGGACGCGGCGGGGCGGAGGTTGGACGAGGACGAGGTGCGGATGCTCAAGAGGGCCAGGCGGGAGGGCGACTATCATGAGCGGCTGCTGGAGATTAAGGTGAAGAACAAGCATGACAAGTTTGGCTGAGGCTGAGGGGGGATTCTGTGTAAGCAGATGGCTGTCTACATGGGGCTGGAGGAGGAGGCATCTAATGGGCGGCTTCTCATGGCCCTGCATTGCTCTCCGTATACACCTAACAAATCGGCAACGATGGATCAGACCCAAATAGGTAGTCTTGTCTATTCGTCACCTCGAGGTCAAGTCGAAGGATTATGCCGGCATTGAACAAATGCAAGTGCGAGGGAATGGTCCAAGACACGTCGTCTTCAGTAGGCCAATTGGCGTGATCGACTACTGTATATGCAATACAACAGCGACCAGATCTCTGAAGATGTTACGAATCACGGTCAAGTTAGAGCAATGGCCATGACAAATTCGGCTTGTGTGTCTCACACTGAAAATATTGTTGATGCCGGAAAAGAAAAGGAGGGATGGGCTACTTGAAGTGTCCAAACACTCGCATTAAATAGGAACATCTATCAAATGAAAACACCCCCGCCCAATGCCAAAGAAGAAAAAAGAACCTTTTTGTAATATCTCGTCTAAATACCCCAAGTTTAACCCGCCCTCCACGCCTTGACCTTTCCATCCTCTCCCGTCGTAAACACGACCTGCTCATCATCGAAGAAGCAGAAGGATCGCACAATCTCGCTGCCGTGAGCCCCCGGCAAGACGACCTTGTTGGCGAGATCCAGCACCCACGAGCCATCCGTCGCCTTGGCCAAGAAGATGAGCTCAAAATTTTCCTTGCTGTTGGGGGAAGGGTTTGTTGTTGTAAGCATCAAAGTGTCAAGGGTTTAACATGAAGCGATAAAGGGGGGGGGGGGGGGGGAATAGAAACAACATACTCTTGTGCCCCCGCGCCCAGAATCGCACCGCTGCCATCCACCTTTGTCGTCACGTTCGCCACATACTGACACCCCAGCACCTTTCTCAAGTCGCCAAAGTCCTGCGCGGCATCGCCCGTCTCGCGCTCGTCGGCGACGTCGTACAGCGCAAAGGCCTCGTCGTGGGACAGGGCAAAGAGCTCCGTGGCGTTGAGGAAGGCGGCGTCGTGGACGGAGGCGTTGTGGTTGAGCGTCTGGACGGTGAGCTCGTCCTCGTCGAGGATGGCGGTGTCGTGGACGCTGACGAGGCCGTCGGTCGAGCCCGAGACGAGCAGCGAGGGCTGCGACGGGTGGAAGGCCAGGGAGGTGACGTCGTCGCTGTGGACTTCGGAGTAGGTTGCCTTTGGGGAGGGGCTGGAGCGGACGTCCCTTTGAACAGCAATCGTTAGAGGCGAATGAGGTTGTGAGACGGGCATTTTTGTCTCGTCTTACCAGAGGTGAATTGTGGCTGCGTGGTTCTCCAGCTCGGTGCCCACGGCGATGGTCTGCGTGCCGGCACTGCAAGCCATGGACAGGATAGATGCTTGGCCGGCTGCTTTCAAATCGTGGTGGTTAGCGAAACAAACATGTTTTCCTTCATCCTCGGGCCCCTTCTTTTTTACACTCATCTCTCTCGTCCCTCATCCTCATTCTCATCAGCCGCAAAAACTCACCAGCAAACTGCGCAACCCGCGCCCCCTGCCTCAAATCCCACACTCCCACCGATCCGTTCTCCCCGGCCGTGCAGACCACCGACGTCCCCGCGTCAAACACCCGCAGCGTCGTCACGTTGCCGTGCTCCGTCCTCAGTCTCGCCACAGGCCCCGTCCCGAGCCGAGCCGGGTTGAAGAGCGACAGCGTCTGGTCCGAGGCGACCGTGGCGAGCCCCGAGGCCGTTCGGTGCGCCTCGAGCACGTAGACGCCTTCTGGGCCGGAGAAGTGGTGCTGGTCGATGTTGGTGAGGGTGTACATTTTGTATAAGACGGGGGTGAAGTTGATTTGGGTTTTGTCTGCCTCGGATTGTGGATGAGAGACAACTCGGAATGGTTTCGCCAATATCGATGGGACTGTCACTTGTCCAAGTAGGTACTTCACTCTAAATCCAAATCTAGATTGCAATTCTTCACGTCATTAAAGGATTTCTCATCGAACCCAAAAGTTTCAACATGCTGCTCTACAAACTCTCTTTTTTTTTCTACTTCCATGTACATGTACCTTGGTAGTTGCGCTAAGCGTGCAGCCTCGTTAACTAAATATTCCTCACCACCGACAATATCAGAGAGCTTCACTTCACATTCACCACCACAACTCCAGGAGACGTAAATCATATTCATATAGATTATTACCATCGCCGTCTTCCGCTAAGCCTATCGTACACACGCGGTTTTTAGTCTAACTAGGTAGTTCAAATCGTCGCCCAACAAAGGATAGGAGTGTCGCCAAACCCAGCTCGGAAAAGCAAAATGCCACGGGGAACGGGCCGTCTCACAGCTTCGTCCCTTTTATCAAACTCCGTATAAAGCAAACAAAACGCCAACTCTGCATATATCTGAAAAATCCGCCTCAAAACCAAAGCCAAAGCCAAAGCCAAAGCCAGAACCCAAGTATTTTTATTTTCACCTTGCTTCCACCGCCTCGTCAGTCCTCGCTAGAAAAGCCTCCGTCTCTAGAGCGCTCATTGACGCTTCGGAATGCTCGCTTGCCAACTTCGTAACTGCTGATCATGATGGCACAGGCCGGTGCTACCTTCAAGGTGCGCGGGATCCAACCTCGCCACAGACCGGGGAACCCCTCCGTCTTGAAGATGTGCAACAGTAATCGCATCATGTTCTGTTCCTCGGGTGCCAGTGCACCTCCAGCGCCGCGGCGTGGTGCATCGTGGTAGATCTGTGTACGTGTCTTGCCCACGTCAAACGGCATGGTCAGTATCGACGCAAGAGCGCCAGAGGTAGCTCCGGCGGTGAAACTGTCGACAAAAGTCTCGGTGTGATTCTCGTGGCTCTGGGATCGCCGCCGCGCCGTCGTGCGCTTGAGGCCATCCATTGTGTCCCGGATCAACGGCCTGCCCCGGCGCTCTTCTCGAATGTCCGATATTCTGGATCGGATCGACTCATATCCCCACCAGTAGAGACCAGAAAATGGCACATCTCGCCACAGAGTAAGTGTCAGCCCCCTCCACAGCGAAGTGTAACCATGAACGGCGACCATGGACCGGATCCCGTTGAAAGTCTCCACCAGGTGGTTTGTCGTCGACGCGCCAGAAGCAGCCTGCATACGAGTACGGATGAGCTCGATGGGGCTAACAGACGTCGCCGCAAGAAGTCGAGCCATGGATCCGGCTACAAGAGGCGCGTAATCCGTCGAAAAGCCAGAAAACGGACTCACGGGGTTGAACCGCAGCCAATCGTAGCCGGTGAAGTAGATGATGTTGGCGGGAATCGTCATGACGAGGGTGGGCGAGAGGCCTCTCCATAGCGTTGTGAATCCTTCGTTGCGAGCAATCTTGCGCAGGCCATCAATCGTCGAGTGGTAGGTCTTCTTTTGGACTTCTTGAACCGCACAGTCGGCGGCGGCGGCGCTGCTCGGCGCAGTGATGCCTTCGATCCTCGGAACGGCGAGGCAGTAGTCCACCGCGCCACCCGCGAAGAAGACTTCACGGCAGCAAGCTGTGACGCCGAGTTCAGCCGTTTGCACGGGGGTAAGGCTGGTGGTTGTTCGCATAAGCCTTGAGAAATCGACAGTCGGGGCGGGAATCGTTGATGATTGCGACTGCAACCTCACGCGGACGACGTCCAACGGAGTCACTGCAAAGACAATGAGATTAGCACATGTTTTCGGTCGGTGCGGCAGAAGGAAAGGATTGCTTGCTCACCCAGCAGCGACGTCAACAAGCTTCCCGACATGGCCGACACCATCTTCTGGCCGGCCGTGATGTCGGGAATGCCATCGCTTCCATCTCCGCCAGACATGACGGCTTGGCTCCCGTCTATCCTGTCGTAGTTTTGGCCGTTTGAGCTGTGGACAACAGACGTAGAAAAGGATCCCATGCCGGCCGTCGGAGGCGGGGGACGTGAGCGAGGAGCCGAGCCCTCGGCCTGTCACGAATTGAGCGGCCTGGCCGCTGAGCAGAATCTCGGAGATGCTCGGCCCAGCTCAGTGTGAGTCGAACGGATGTCGGGCCGTGCGCAAGAGGTAAATCCGGGCTTCAGCAGACGAGGCGATGCTCGTACGGATATCGGTATCAATGCAGACTGAGCGCAATATCAGGATATAGAAGTATCGAGAGGATGAAGGAGACAAGAATCGCCCGGAATCGAGCGGTCATAGCTGTGCTAACATATGCTGGCCAGGCGGAAGGTTGTCGGCTAGGTGTTTTACAGTAGTAGTGAGTTCGGTGCTAGTGCAGCGCTTCAATTGCCCCGGCCCCATTGAATTTTTTTTTTTTCTGTTCGGCGTCTTGCTCGCCTCCACGCCGCAGCCGGAGATGAATCTTGGACCCGTGAGTAGCCGATGATGTCACCCGGCGCTGTGATTGGCTGTTGGCCAGCTGTTGGGAAGCCGTGGCGATTGATAAGCGGCGATTAGATAACAGTTCCTGCAGACCCTTTGGCTTGCACGGATTAGAGGTACAAGAGGTACGTACTCGAGGGTACTTGGGTACATGCGAATACTTGGGGGACAATGGCGTCTTAGTCATCCAGCAGCACGCTATGCCAGATTGCCCAGGCCGATCGAGTCACTCCAGGGACGCTTTGCCTTGACCGAATTATTGCAAGTCTCATCTCATCTGATCTCATATCGACCTCTGCAGCTCCCTACAGGTACCTACACGCAGTATCGTGAACAAAGATGCAATAAAACACAGCATCTTCATACGTATTTCTCCATCTCATCTCACTTCTTTTCATCTCGTCTCATCATCGCCTCACCGTCTTGTCATCGTTGATTCTCCTGTGACAAAGCACCATCTCAATGTCTCTGTAAACTCGAATACCGCTAGTACCTACCTATAGCACGTTCATACAGCATTAGCAATCAACCAGCTCTCACGCAAATCCCCCGCGCTCGGCCATATCGGACACCCCTTCTTTGTTGAATTGAATTGCCACAGCCGCCCACAGCCATGGCCTCACAAGACCGTGAAGCAAACTCGGAGCTGGAATCCTTCCGCCGGCAATGGATCTCCGACCTGCAGTCCAGAGCCCATGAGGCCGACGGTTCGTCTTCAACTGCCGCCGCCGCCCCGGCTGTCACTTCACGGCCGAGACGGCGGACCGGCCCTTCAAGTCCAACAATCGCAAAGAAGCATTTGCCAGCCATTGAAGACGATGAGTACTATCTCCACGGCCCGACTTTTGATTCCATGCCCCCTCCCTCATCTTCGGGGCATCTGCTGTCAGATCCGCCGGGCAAACACGAACACGATGAGCAGCCCTTGGTCTCAGCTCTAGATCATTATGAAAGGGCCATGGAAAAGGAGGCGCAGGGAAACATGGGGGAGAGTCTGAAGCTGTATAGACAAGCCTATCGAGTAAGATTTGATCAAACCGGACACCCCGTATTTGCGTGCAGATAATGCTGACTTTGCCCATCCAGCTGGATCATCGCGTGGACATGTCGTATCGTGAGAAGCACTTCCCAGCCGGCTTTGCACCCGCCAAGGTTACGCCCTCATCCTCGGGAGCAGTAACGGCACCGCCAGCAGCATCACACAAACCTGCGGCTCCCACCACCGCCGAAGAGGAGCCTCAGCCGCTCACTTTGGAAGAGCTCATCGCCAGCTTCTCGGGGTTGAAGATTGAGGGGGCGCCTCCCATCATTGAAGACACACCGCCGCCCCCATGCCCAATTTCCAACCTGCCGGACGAGCTGCTCGTGCACATCCTCAAAGACGTCGCCGTGGCCGATGTGGGAGACTTTGCCCGCCTCAGTCTTGTATGCAAGCGATTCGCCTACCTCGTCGCCACCGAGCAGCGCATCTGGAGGCGCGTCTGCCTCGGGACCGAGTTTGGCTTCACCTCCATGCCTCGCCACTGGCAAAAGACTGTCGAATGGGAACAGCTCGAGGCCCAGGAAGAGGCGGACGAGGACGGTTTCCTCGTCAGCATGAGAGAGGTCGAGGAGCGCCGCTTGGCCGACGCCCTCTCTTTCACGACTTCCCTCCACGATACCGCCGTTTACCCCTCGTGGAAGAACATGTTCCGCACGCGCCCTCGCATCCGCTTCAACGGCTGCTACATCAGCACCGTCAATTACATCCGCACCGGCCAGGCGACAAACCAGGCCGTCTGGGGCGGAGACCCTTACCTCATCGTCACCTACTACCGCTACCTGCGCTTCTTCCGCGACGGCACCGCCATCAGCCTCCTCACCACAACGTCCCCCGCCGACGTCGTGCACCATCTCACCCCTGAGCTGCTGAAGCTGCACCGCGAGGCTCCCCACGCCCATCTCCCTTCCGCGATGATGCACCAAGCCCTCAAAGGCCGCTGGCGGCAGTCCTCCGCGTTGGACCATCCGGACAACACGGACCCAAAGGAGCAGGAATCGGACTTGTACGTCGAGACGGAGGGCGTGGGCGCAAAGTACATGTACCGCATGGACTTGTCGCTTCGAAGCGCCGGCAAGGGCACCCGCAACAACAAGATCGTTTGGAGGAGCTTCAGCAGCTACAACAAGCTGACGGACGACTGGGCTGACTTCCAGCTCAAAAACGACAAGCCCTTCTTCTTCAGTCGAGTGAAGAGCTACGGCGTAGGAGAATCAGCTTGAGATCTCTCTCCGACGTGATGCTTTACCTTTTTACTGGTGGAAAGCGTCTGCGACGCCACTATTTCCTACAAATCAATGACTTGACGAAAGGCGTTTTCTTTTTTTGCATATTCTGAATTGAATTCCTAAAGTTCTGCATAATGGTTAGACACGTTGAAAGCACATAGATGTACATCAAAGTCTTGATGAGAACAAGAAAATATCACAGCGTTTTACATGTTTACTTGCAACTGCTTGGATCTAAAAAAAAAAAAAAAGAATTTAAAAAGAGAAGAGCCTTAAACAAAAAGACCTCATCAGACTCCCATTAGATTCATAATATTTTTTTCCACATACAAAATGTAAGTCCCGCCTGCTTCCCCCCCCTAGACTGTAAAAAGATGCCACATGTGCCACGCTAGAGTTTTTGGTATACAAAGAGAAACAAAGCGCAAAAAGAAAGAAAAAATGGAGGTCCGTCGCCATGATGATATGATATTCAATGCCCAGAATGACGCACCAAAAACACGAAAAAGGGGAAAGAGGAGGAGAGGACATGTACAACAAAAGTAGTGAAATATAGGAAATCGCTTGATCGCTGAAACGTAAACGGCTACCAAATCTCGGAAAGAGAGAGATATGCGTCAATAACATGTAAAAGAAAAAGAGAATGCTAGGTAAGCCTGTGCGAGATCGTATGTATAGGGGGGGTTGAAGAGTGTTGTCTTCAAAAAGATGACAATATGATAGATAGGCCCATGGAAAACTCCACTTAAAGTATATCGTATGAGAGATATGCTTTTCCGTAATGAGTAAGATGATAAAGTTGGTATTATGTGTTGTTGCTCGAACAAAATCGCCGCGAGCATCTCACCGAAGCCGCCTCCCGTCCAAAAACTTTGGTGGATCAGCAGGGTTGTAGTAGGTCTGCTCAAACTGCATGGCCTTGCGCGCCTCATAGGCTGCCCGCTCTTCTTCGTCCATGCTGAAAGCCTTCTTGAGCCATCCAAACGCGCTCTTCTTCTTCTTGAGCCCCTTGTCCACGGTTTTTGTGGTTCGTACACTTTGCGCCGTCCCGTCATCGTAGTTAATGGACGTTACCTTACTCAGAGTGCTCATGCCGGTGTTGGACGGTTTGTTACGCAGATGGCGCGGCGGTACCAAATTCGACCCGCTTTGAACATACATAGATTGACCATGTCCAACGGCGGTATGCGGTCTCTGTTGTAGTGGTGAATGTGGCGACGCGTGAACGGGGTGATATCGTTGTCGGTCCGATCGTGGTGATGGTATAACATTGAGCTGCGGGGGAGACATTTCCATATTGCTCGAGCTGCCAGATGGATGGCGACCATGACGCTCGGCATCAGACTCGTACGCCGAATCAAATTGGTGAGATCTCATTGTCTGAGGTGTGGTAGTGCCAGGCGAATGGGCGTACATCTCCATGCCTTTCAGAGATCTTGGTGGAATCTGAATGTCCCCCGGCGGAATCATTTTTTGGGATACACGATCACGGAGAGACGTCCTTCTCTGCACAATATCGCTGTCTCGCCATGTCATAGACTGGGTGCTTGCCGGAGTATACGGTGCGGATTGGAGTGATTGCAGGGTCGACTGGGATTCCGATCGAGCGCTGTGGCCAAGTTCATCTTTGATCAGGGGCGACGGCAAGGGCGCGGGAGGCTGCGGCGTATACGTCCGGGGCTGAAGAAGAAACACCGGTTCTTCCATCTCCGTCTCTGGCTCACTCTCTTCGGATTCCGCAACGGAGTCTTGGCGCAGGTGAATGTGCATTGATTGCGGGCTAGTGACGCCAAAGGTATTCGCGATAGATTGCGGAGTGTACTGAGGACTATCAATGGTAGGAGTGGCCGCGGTGGTAGCCGACTGCGGGCTGTTGAGGCCGAAAGTGTTTTGAGTATGCCGAGTGGAACGGAATGGTGGAAGCAAAGGTAGGCCACCTGGCAAAGGAAAGTCAATGGTGCTGGTATCATCGTCAATGATAGAGCTGGCAGGTCTCTTGTCTGAAGAGCCGCTTCGAACACTCTGTTGGGTAATGGATTCCGAGGGCGCATGATACGGCGTAGTCTTGATTTCAAGCTTCAAGGGTGGGACATCCTCAGCATTGGGCATCGGTGGCGCAGAGAATGGCTTGATGCTCGCCTGAACTTTGAATCAGCTATCGAGACCAACAAACACGAAAGGGGGAACGACTTACCCAAGTCCGCCGACTAGCCTCACCAGCTTTCTTTTCCATCTCGGATATAATGTTCATCAGGCGGATAATGAGGCTGTTGATATCATGGGTGCTGTCGCTGATTTTCTCAAATGCAATAAGCCACCCCTCCGCATTGCCGCTCATGGCATCAAAGATGTCAATGACATCTGGCTGGTCCCCTCGCCAGGCACCTTCGGATTGCTCGTTCAGCCAGTTGATGAAGATGTTGCTGGTCTGCAGCCCGGCTTCGATATCGTCATCCCACTGCTTCATAGCCACGTTAGTTCTGGCCAGAATGTGCTCAATCTTTTCATTGCCCTCGAGTATCTCCGTCCGAAACTTGCGGTCCTCGAGCAGCTGCTCAAATGCTGTGACGTTGGACATGGGAAGCATCAAGTGGTCGATGCGCTCCTTTAGGTCCAACTCTACTTGCTCAAGATCTTCGATTGTGACTTCTAGAAACTCGTCCACTTCGTCAATGTGGCCCTGGAGGATTGTAACCACTTGCGTATTGTTGTTGGCCATGCCGTTGAGCATCAGATACACGCCAAAAGAAATCTGAGCAATGAGCTTGGCCAATTCGTGCTGGGTCTGCCCTGATCGAAGCCTCCATTCGGCATCAAAAGCGGGCTCGTCTAGGCCTTGCGCAAGCACAGCTTCTCTACGGCCCTGAGCGTCCAGCGCCCTCAGCTTTGGTTTCTCAACCGCGATGCCACTCATCACCTCGTGTAGCGACTCGGCAAATGCATCCTGGAGAGCAGGAATGGGGTGGACGGGAATACTTGGCGGCGGTGGCGTCGGATCGGAACCATGGTCGGACTCGTTGTCGTCCACATCCCCTTGGTCGTCATCGTCAGATTCAGAGTCTCCCGCCCGTCGGTCGCTTTCAGAGTACCGCGCAGAGCTTAGGGTAGTGTTCGAAGGGGGCTCTTTGGCGCGGGGGGTATCTGGGGAGAGCGGAGACGACAAGGTGTCAATCTCGGGGAGCAGGACGATACGGAGTCCTCCATCGTCGAAGTCGAGAGGCGGCAAATGAGTAGTCGATGTCATGGTGGTGCAGATACCGCGTTATATGGAAAACAGCAAGGCCAGATCAAGCTATATCAGGGGTTTGCACAGCGCTGTGGGAATCGAGGGCCAGGCTGTGTACTAGGTAGCTGGCAGAAGTCGAGATGGCTTCAAGATGCAAGCAATGGCGATGATGATGATGGCGATGATGATGATGGTCTCGAGAGTCGAGGGGCGCTATCTACACCAGTCAAAAGCTTCGTTTAGATGGAACCAATAGCCATAGCATCCCCATTCAAGTACAAAAAAAGATACGATGGCGGGGTCGAGAGCTCGAGGCTCAAAGTTGGCGCTCGATTCCGATATGATGAAGGGATCGTGAGCCAAGAGCGGGACAGATGTTGAGTTCCCAGACTGCCTGACCAGCTGGTGCCAGGGACAATCAACGACGGCAAAGGCGAGTTGGATGGAAAAGAGGCCGGCTAACCAACCAGCCAAGGCAGGCCTCTGGTGATGGTTTATGGAGGAGATTCGAGCGCGACCAGAGGGCGAGGAACAGAAACGAAACGTGCTAATGTTATTGCTGCCCACCCGGCCCAGGTGCTTCTTCGTCCGTGGCAGCTCGAGCCCAGACCAGCTCCAAAGCGTCCCCGTTCGCCTGTTAGCGCAGGTCTGGCCGCTCACTAACGGCGCCTCGACTGCTAAATTGGGAACAAGGTGATGGGAGCCCGCCATCAGATCCCCTGGTCTCTAGTGCCGCCGGCAGGGAAGAGCCAATGGGCGAGGGTCGAGCTGTCTCGCTGCGGCGTCTGTGCCTGAGCCCGTGAGCCGATGCCTGTACGTGTACGTCTGAGGCTTCGATACCTGCTGATTGATGATGGACTCCTGAAGTGGCCAGTGCTGCAGCTCGAGCTCGAAACTGGGCTTGGGAGACGCGGCTCGCATGGACGGCCAACCTCATCAGGGGGGGGGGGCTCGACAACGGCCAGATGGGGCTCGACAGATTTGATGGTTCAATCTCAGCAGCGCCACTGCACGCGTACCTGAGATGGTAGCAGTGCTAGTCGCATTATGGGGCTCAGTAGCAGCAACGAGTAAGATTTGCCTTGATGCATGTACGAGTGCAGTACGACGGAGTGGTCGATTTCTTCCAAGCCCAAGTTTTCTTTGGGGTTGTGTTTTTTTTTTTCTCTTTGTTTTTTTTTTGTCTGGCGGAATTCACACCGGCCAGGCAAAGCGGTGTGCGTGCGTGTCTTGCCAGTTGTTGAATTCTGCACAGATGGCTGGCTTGCCGAGACATGGACGGGAAATAAAATAAAAAACCATCCAACGCAAGGGCTGGTGTTTTAGCACTCGTCAGCAGATGCAAGGTAAGGGCAGCTAATGATTCTACGTACTACTACGAGTCGCATTGCCTTATCAATTGGCATTGAATTGAGCAGCAGAAACGGCTTGGTGGCGTGGCACAACCTCACAGATACGACTACCTACCTAGGTATGTACTGTACAGCTTCGCTACCATATTCGCAAGGTATAGAACAGACCCTTGATGACTGACTTGGCCTCTTTCTTTCTGTCTTGTACGTACGGAGTAGAGCCAAGACATCCATCAATCGGCTCGATACCAGCAGGCACGCAAGACACGGCCCAGTGGATACGTCGGTTCGTCCAAGAGGCGATGATCAGCAGCAAACCCGATCTCTGCGGTCGAGACAATGCCGATCCCCAAATTGCCTGTGTAAACGTACATATCTATAGCAAAAAAGGCGATACGCGTGGTCGCAGAGACAACCTCCAACTAGTACCTAGACTACCTACATGCTTGTCCTACTTGGTGCCTGATAAAGGATCCGATTCCACCACACGATACGCTCTGTTCCATCAGGCACGGCTGCATCTGCATCTGCATCTGCTCCGGTCTTTGGTCCCAGCAGTGGGTTACACGCGCAGGCGAGTGGATGGCACCATCGACAAAAGCCATTTTTAGCCAGTCGCCTCCAATGCTAGTCGTCGGCTGCTAAGGAGAAGTGCAAATTTGATATCAAATAGAGGCCAGTCCATCTCCGATCGTACCTGGAATAGGCACGGAGCATGGCCCGTCGAGGGCCCGGATATTACGAGGCCCCGGGACATGGCAAAACCACCACCAGCACCTCGTTTATACGAGCAAAGCGGCCCAGAACGGCCATAACATTCGGCACGCACGTACGGACTTGTGCTCATATTCTATCCATCTACTCCGTACTTGCGCACCTCTCTTTCTTCGCGCATTTAGTCCGCCCACGGGCCATTGATGCCTATCATCAGCTGTCAACAAAGCAGCCCGAGCCCAAAGTTGGTGGTCAGCTTGCATACAGCTACAACATGCCCGCCCGCTTGCCGTCGCAAGCATTGATGGCAAGGAGCCAAACTTGACCGACGCCCGTGACTCTTGTGTCCAATCTCAGTGCCTACTATTTACTACTAATCTGCCAAACCTGCTCCAAGTGGTTCACAGCTTTAGCCGCATCCTGTGCCGGGGGTGCCGTGGGTTCTTCATTTCAGCGGCCTTGGCTACTCCGTACTTTGCCACCTGGTCCTTTTCACAGGCGAGTTCTTGTTTTGCCTTGCCCTCCTCCCTTTTTTTCTTGGATTCAATTCCTTTTTTATTTTAATACTAATCAAGAGCCATTCATTCCCTCCATGCATCAAGTCTCGGAGATTGATGGAAAAGCTTGTTCCCCCCTGCCTGTCCCGTTCGTTGCCATATAAGTTGATATTTCCAGGGGCTTCGGAGCGCTGGGCCTCATAACATTAGCGCGAGGGTTGTCTCGGTCTCTGGCGGATGCGCGCGACTGCGGCTATGCTGGCGCAGCAGCGTTTTTTCCTGTTTCTCCCCCAGTTATCGAAATCATGTTTCCCAAGTCGTGTTATTTACATCAAATCTTCTCCTGGCACGCATCCACTTACTGTAGCAGAGCGCGAATGCCTTCTTCCGTCCCTTCCATTAGCGTAGTTCAGAGAGGCAGTGCACGTATTCCCTAGCATTGATACCCTTTTCCACTCCAATTTCGCAGAGTGGGCATCTTTTACGCGATGGGGGAAGGGGTTGTTTTTTCATCCATTCTTATTTACCACGGACAGAAAATCGACCCATCCATTGGGCTAGCGAATATTACCTATTAACCGTTGGAACTACCAGTAAAAGCCATCCATACAATAAGCCTGGGATATCAAAGGCCTGCTGCTGTTGCAACACCACGAGGAATCGTACGAGTGCCGGTGCCCGCATGAGCTCCTCTCATCTCATCTCTGCACGACAGCAGCAGCTCTCCTGCACGTCAGGTACTGTACAACTTCAACTCCCGGCATCACGGCGCCCATCTACCGGCAAATCCTCCCAAACGCTGTGGCCCCGTTGCTCCCCCCATCTTCAACCTCCCCCCACTATCAAAGTGATCAACAAGATCGGTGGCCCAGAAGTGGATGGCCTGCAAGTTGCCGTGATCATCGCACAAGGGGAAACGCCCAGGTGGCGTCAGTGCTTCCAAGTCCACTTGCGGGCTTACTGGATTCAGCAAGTTGGGAAACGATCAGTTGGGTTGCGTTACCAAAGCATGTGGGCAAGCTGGCGATGAGCGTTCACTTACACGGCCGCGAGCTTTGAATGGGGAGAATACGGTGCATAGCGTCCACGAATTAGACGTTGAATGATTTATTTGACTTTACTTTTATATAATTTTCTTTTGTTTCGGTTGCCTTGTCACGTTTTGGATCCCTAGGCAATCAGTATCCAATCAATTATTACTGCAAGTGAAAAGACACTCCTGTGGCATTTAGTTTGATGCAGTAACCCTTGCAGCATCCCCAGGACCGGCATTTAACGGAGTGCCATCTCGCGGCATCAATCTCTCAACCCCCACGGAGTACATAGGCAGGTCTAGACTGCAAAGGAAATGGAACACTAGTCAATCGACCTTGTCTAAGGGGTTGATCGACCGTGTTAGAAGTTGGCATTTACTGATGGCATAAGCAAGATTATGAAATGTCCCATGGAGAAATTGGCACGTGTTTGCCGACATTGGAAATGGACCAATTCTGTCATGTATCCAGCAACCAGGAGACTCCTACAATGGCGAGAAGTAGAAGAAGCGCCTTTCGTCTTGTCAGATCACTGCTAAACATCAATTCATCCGTCATGATGAATATACGACTGCATAATTCGGGAGCAAATATGGAGCTTCACTTTTGCCCGGAATCAAGTCTGTTATAATACCTAATGCCAGCTGGACGCTCATTCTTCATCCATACCCAACTGTCTTTTAGTGTCTGCTATTATTACTATCCTCGTCCAGAGTCTTTCAATATCACTACACCACTCCATTACCTACCTATCTGGAGTTTCTACACCCAAAGCCAACGTTGGGTAGCATCATGCAAGTCGGACCATCTTTTCCCATCCATCTCTCCAGATTAACCCGTAATTGCTCCGTACTCCTGTCACGGCATTGCTCCCCTCGAATTCAGCCTCTTTCGGGAAGGTGTCATTCATTACTACACATTGGTTTAATATGAGGAAAATGTTGTACTAGGAGGTTATGCTCTAGCTCCCATTCATCTTGGTTCCCCCCAAATGCCGTTGAAAGATGTGCGCCACAGATCTGAATTAGACGACACAACTGAAAACACATAAAAAAACATATCATAACAGAGGCCAGCTCATCTAAATGTAGACTTCTACCTAATATCGGCGCGATATATGACCGATGCAACTTGCATGTACGAGTAACCTTAGTACCTAACCCAAGAACCCCCCCCCCTTCCTTTTCCCTTCTAATTGAGCCGAAAAAAACAAACCAACATGCCCGCTTAACCTCTAATGTTACATACACTTCTATCAACATTCACGCTAACACTTCATAGTGATGCCCTTGCGCTTCTCCGATTCGCGAATCTCAAACATGACCTGAATGCCGACAAATAGACAAGATGACGCGGTGAGAATAAAAACGACCCCTGAACATTGTCCACACGTTAGTACAGGGTTTGACAGTCAATGAGAG